GTTGGTCCCCAGTGTAGTCGGCTTCCGACGAGAGTGACCCAAAGCTCCCAAATCCAGACGCACCTCCGTCAAGTGGAAACGAGATCGGAACTCCTGCCACTCCGGCCATGCATAGAAAGACGGGTACTCATTGGTGTCATCCTTGGCCTTGTACTTCTCCGGGTCTCGAGGATGCTCTTTGAGAAACAGAACCAAGCGCTTCCTAGCTTGGCTGGCCAGGAGATAGAGCCACAACTGCCTCAATGACCACCTCCATGATGACCACCACTTGCAACCCCTGGCCGGTTGTTGCCCCGCTGGACCACTCACCGAGGATTCTTTGGATTTCTGACCCTGACCGCCCACTGGATCTTGGGGTTCACTGCTACCAGAAAGACCTTGTCCCGGACCAGAGTGGAGCTCGCCAGACACATAGCCCTTCGAGCTTCGACCATCGGCTGCTGGAGGTTCAGACCACGAGGAAGCAATCCCATGCCTTGCTAACGTTCTCGAAGCCTCCAACATACCATGCATCATATCACCAGATGTGGAGGAGACACGATTGAAGATGGCTCTCGGCCCCCCCAAACTGCCCATGAAAGTCCCTGATCACCGGCAGAAACATGACCCGCACCATGCCCTCCACAGTCTCGACCATTCGACAGCGGCCCAAGAAGACCCTTACCACCGTCACGCCCTGGAGACACCCATGAAGACCTCAATGACTCTAGCATTGACTCCATGACATTCTTTTCTCTGTGCTGACCCTCCGACATCATGCCATACATCCAAGGTGGTGGATGATTGAAAGGTGGGTTGCCCCAACCATGGTTTGCCTGCCCCGCCGACCATGACTCCCGCTCTGACCAAAGCCGCGCGTTCTCAGACATGAGGCCATGAAGAAACATTCGAAAAGCTTCGGCTCCTTCTTTCGGTGGCGAGGAACCTGGATCAGGCAGCAGCTCTGTCCCTTCGGGCTTCATCCTGCATTCGCTCGGACCAGAAAGGGTTGTACGTGTTGGGGCCCAGAACCACTGGCGGGCCACTAGGCCTCATCTTCTATGGCCTTCAGGCCATTCGACTCCGGCGTCCTTTCAGAAGCCGCTTCTTCACTCATTGCGTCACACCTAAAACCCAACAGCACTCAGCGTACCTTCGGGCTCATAACCTACGCCGCACAAACTGCTTCTATTTTCCTTGTGCAAACAAAGGGCTACAGGTGATTGCCCATGCTCAAACGTTCAAGCTTCACAAGACATGGAAAAGGCTGTGCCGTTTCTGCTAATACAATAGCATACAATAGCTATATTGACATCTACACTTGAGCCACGTTTTTTTTGCAAATGATTAGGTTTATACAAAAAGGGAACTGTTGAGAAGTCGCGGAGGCTGTTCTGCTTGGGGCGTAGGCGTCGTGTAAGCATTTTGCGTAGGTGGGTGTTGAAAGATTTGCGTAGGCAGTCTTGCGTAGGCACCCTTTTCATGAAAGCCTGAATTTTCTTATTCAGACTTCTTTAAAAGTTGTTCAAGGGTCTTGGGGAAAGATCATGTTGGCTTGTAGTTGTTTAACTTGACACTTGCTTGCAAATTCCAGTGGGGAAGGAAAATGAAAATGAATTGTAACGACATGGCTACAGTGGATGTTTGAAGTTTGTTTGTCGAAGCTGTGGGGGCACATTGGTTTTTGAGGTCAAAAGCTTGATCGTGCTTGGTCTGGCACACCGGCTCTTGAGCTACATCTGTGCGCACCCTGTTGGTACCATAATCAATGGACCTATTTTCGCGTGGGCCCCGCGTAGGCGCTCGCGGAAGCAGCGCTTAGGCAAGAAGCTATTGGCTGCTGCTACTGCTTGGCTGCTGCTTTTGCTGCTGCTTTTGCTGCTGCTTGGCTGCTGCTGCTGCTGCTGCCTCTTGTTTTCTGCTGCTTGTTTGCTGCTTGTTGTGCGCTGTTTATGTGCTGCTGCTTCCACACTGTAATTGGATCGGCTTGATACAAAATCTATCTGGCCATCGGTAGCAAAGCTGTAAACGCCTTGTAAACAGGAACCTGATGTGACCCGGTCGCATCGGGCCACTACTTGCGGATTGTATTATAGCTCTTTTCGAGTCACCTGATGTGACTAAAGTTGGTGACAGTACCCTGCGTAGGCATCCCGCGTAGGCACCTAACAAAGAGAACCTCTCGCGTAGGCATTTGCTTGAGAGGGGAGCCCAGGCGTAGGCACCCGCGTAGGTACAGACCCAGTGTATAAGCCCCACACCACAAAAAAAAACACAACTCACTTGATTACTGGGAGTCAGTGGCTGAATTTGTTCAGGTCGGGCTCCGTGGGGATTGCCACCAAGCCGCCTGGAAAGAAAGGATTCATATAGTTTACTTATATATATATAACTTATTGTAATTATATATACAATCTTCAGAGACAATGGCAAGGTCTTGACATAGCGTGGTGAAGACCTGGTTCCTTCACCTTCGAATCGGGTCTTCTTGATGCTTTGGGAACTCGTGACCGAACTTCAGTTGCTCCCCTGTTTCTTTGCAAAGAACATGTTCATCACTCAAATGGCCGCAGAAAGAAAAAGAAGGCGCCCCGTGCAAAAAGGCACCGTGCACTGTGTGTTTTTCGGGCTTTCTCCGATGACTTCGACCGATGGAATCCAGAAACACCTGGTGTACACTTCAAGTGGTGTACACTGCTTGGTACGAACGATGATGGGAGAAAGTACATCCAGGTTAAGCGTAGTTACGTAGTTGTTGTTGCTTGGATTCCAGGTGAGCTTGTTGTGTTTTTGCATTGAGAAGAGGAGACATGACATGCATTCCAGCGTTGAGTTTGCTTTCGGCAACACCATTTTGGATGTGTTGGTGAGGGATCTTGGAGTTCCTTTCCGGACCTATGTGGATTGTTTGGGAGAATGGACCACCAAGCTTGCTGCAACATATCTGATCGCTTGAAAAATGAACCCAATACAGTGAACTACATTCGAACCTTGTTCTCAGCACGTCTCAGACTGCCGATACTTTTCGCCCCCGCTGCCGATTCTTCCGGCCGCTGGCTGCGACTCTGAGGATCTTGTCCTCGTCGACGGATCCCAGCGTGGACTTCGCCGCTCGATTGGGTGAGCCCGCAGCTCGCGCGCAGCGAAGCGCAGCGAAGCGCTTTCGCCTCGCTCACGCGTCGCTGCGTCGTTTCGAGGTTCCTTCGGTTCCCGGGGCTGGTAGGCGAGGTTCTGTTTTTCGGAAGGGACGAGGTGGCCAGATGATGGTTGTTTTTTAATTTTTTGAATGACGAGATAAGGCTTGGAAAGCTGCCCATGACTGCCATGGGGAGTCTAGAAAAAGAACATGAGGTTTTAGGATTTCTGGTCTCCCAACACCCGCGTGATGACTTTGTAGACTTTCAAGTGCCGCCCTGAAAGACTGGTGGATCTTGACCGGGCACGTCTCCGCGCCGTCAGTCCTGGTCTTCACCGCTGGTGCATTGCGGTTCGGGTTTAACCTACAGAGCCTGAGTGACCTCTATATTGGATCCAGATATCCCTCAAAGCGAGGTCATGTCTGGGCTTTAGGTTGTTTTTTTTTTGTGGCTTCATCGACCTGAAAGGCAGGCAGATTTTTGATGAGGATGACAGAATGCTGCCAAGAAGTGCACCCCCCACTGAAAGTGAAGCAGCTATCGCAATGGGAGAATCTCTTCTAACCATGTTCCCTTCTCAGAGGAGGCCTTCAATTGTAGAACCCGCTATTTCCGGAGCTCAGGGTCCCTTGGCGGCACGCAACCCTTCTGCGTGAGACCCTTTCTCGCGCAGAACGCTTGCTGAAGTTTTCCTGGGTTGTCCTCACAGCTCAGGAGTTTGAAGGTGAGATGAAGGGCATCACGCCGCTTTATGTGGCAGCCACTTGGGGCTATCCTGAACTGGTGAGGTATCTGCTGCAGAAGCAGGCGACCGGCTGTATGCGGCGTCAGCATGCAGTCTGTTTCAGGTTCTTGGATGACCATCTTGGATGACCCCTCTGATGAGTCACTGATCCTCACACAGGTTGTACAGATCCTCGAAGAAGTTTCTCACGAACCTCATCAGCTTTCGTTTCTGTGAAGTGCCGAGTCTCTCAACTTGTTTTTCTATAGGCACTCCCGGATAGAACTCCACACAACCTCAGCACGCTCAAGCTCTGTAGCAGGCTTGAACTGCAGGTCCAATCAGCTACTCTGAGAGTGGCTACCTCTGAATCCAAAAAGATACCGCCAGTTTCATCCAAACGAAGTTCCGTCTGACCACCAAGTTTCGCCTCGCATCGCTTGGACCGTGGAAACGTCCGTCCTCATGACCGTCTCGCCAGGCGAATCCCAGCCGACGGGATGCGCGGGGCATGACGCCCTTGCGAGTGGTCCTCGTCGCCGCGCAGGTGAGGAGGGTGGAGGAAGGTGAGGGTGTGGTTTTTTTCGTGAAGAGCCATCGTGAATTTCTATGCGAGTCTGATGTCTGATTTCTATGATTTCTATATTTATTTTCTGGAGGATGGGATCTCAAAAAGCCACGCGACGAGTCAACCTGAGTTGACGGAAGAAGCGAGGAAAGTTGAGACACAGACGAGGTGCGTTTGACCCGTTCGTCTTTAGAGACCTGATTTTGTAATCTGGAATCCTTATAAAACAACGATGGTTTCGGCAAAGACCATGATAAAGACGATGGTTTCGGCCCAGGAATATCAGGGGTTTAAGTCTAAGTAAGCTAGTTAGGAAAGTCCACAGGCCAGCGCCAATGAGAGGGAACCCCTCCATGCGCCACTGCGCCGGTGTTTTTCTTCCGAAACGACCCAAGCGTCTTCCGCTCTGCTCCACCGGGAGGAGTCCAAAGTCTGCACCAGCGTGGCCGTGGACCGTCAGCAGGCGCCAAACGCAGGTCGACGAAAGACATCAGGTCGACGACTCCAAACCGGTGGCCCCTTAAAAGAAACCCTTTTTCGAGCACTTGAGCTGGTTGCAGCTAGGTACTATATACTTGGTAGACCGAAGGCGAGGCTTGCCTGCCAAGTTGTGGTTGGCCAAAGGAAATCCCTTGACTCGACTCTTCGACTTCATCCCACATCTTCGCGTTTCGGCGCGCCGCCGGGACGGTCAGGCGTTGCGTTTCAAGGGCCTTCGCTATACGGCGACCTGGCCCGCCTTTTCAGCGGTGGATGGGTGGGGTGTCCTGAAGCAGGGTAACCAAGGGCATTACTATACTAATTAGTATCTAGAAGCTACAACTCAAAGTGCCTTGCTTAAAGGTGATTCCAGAGCTACAGTGGGTATGTCCCAAAGGGTAGACTGGTCCATTCCCCTTTCTTCCGGAGGTCTTCCTGTTTTTGTGCACACCCATATTATGCCAGACTCACATTGGGCCATTTTTATGATCCTTTGTATGGCTGCATTGATGGAGGATGCACACTTACACGAGCCCTTACTCGTTGATGGTGATGACAAGCATGTATCTTTACACATCCTTCACATGTTCATCCTTCAATACTGTCGAGAGGCATATATGCAACCCTCGTGTGCCTGACTATGGATTCTCTAGGCTACCTGGTTGTACCCAGTCCCAACCAGAAACAGTTCTCGTTCCCCAATCTGGTTTTCAGATCCTTTGCATAGGAAGTGGCCAGGACTGGGGAGACATCCTTTTGTTTCTGGTTGGGACCAGGTACAACCAGGCTTTGTTTCATCCTTGGACGCCGACACCTGTTGGGAGCGACATGGGAGCGCACGACGAAACAGCTCGCGACAACAGCTCGCGACGAAACATTTGGTCTCAGGTCTTTAGGTGCGTCTACCACCCCAATGTAGGCATATATTTTATATGGCGTACATGGAGTTACATGGAGTGTATGGGATAGAACATCATCCAAGAGAGCAGGACCCCAAGACTCGGCCCAAGTCCGCCGGAATGGTCGCTCTCAACAGGGAATGAAGCCTGGGACCGGCACAGAACTTCCCCAAAACAGGTCCATCCAGTCGTTCATCCTTTTTGGGGGATAGACCTGTTGCCTGTGGTGGGCCTGCTTCGACAACTAGGGGCTGAAGAGTGCCAGTCCACTGGTCTCACTCACGCAGCGAAAACCCACCCAAAAACATCAGCATCACAAAAATAAGGGTCTGGCATAATCTGAAACCATCGGATTCTTGCTCCTTGCTCCCCTTTTCTTCTGCCCTTACACCTTGGTAAAGCTTCAGAGTTGCCTCTTCCACACTTTTCCACGGTCACTGAGCCCGCGGCAGCTGCGGCAGTGCTGCAGCGCCTCAGGAGGTCATAGAGATCTTGGAAGCGCAAAGCCTCGAGGAGCTTGAGGCCAATTCGCGAGCTGTTCCTCCACGGAAGAGCTCGGAAGAGGCCTCCTCGTCGAAGGAACAGCTGGACGAGATTCCGCGGCTTTCCTTGACAACTTCTGCGGCTTCCGCAGAGCGTAGCAAGGGAAGTGATGCGTTCTCCGAGGCTGAGGTGTCGATGACGCCACTTGTACAAAGACTTGCTCACGGTTGGAGAAGCGAAGACGTCGCGAACGCCGAAGCGAACGTCAGGCACTCTGCTCCGCTGAGCCGCTCTCCGATCTCGAGTCACTCGAGTGACGAAACAGTCAACAGGAACAAGTGCCACATTTTGCCAAGGTGGGCCACAGGTGAAAGACCATTGAAAGACCATTGAGGTTGAGGGGTTGAGGGATCCACCAAGCTGTTCTGGTTCGTTTTCGGGGTCCATCTTACCAAGCTGAAATTCCGCACAGCGGCAGTGTGGAGCTAACCGTACGTTATCCTTTACATCGCCTTGACGAATGTTGATCTTCACGATCTTCAAATGGTCTTTGTTTCAGAAAAGGCTTTGGTATACCATGCATGGTTTAAAGCATGCGGTCATCCCCTCCAGAGAACTGGCTGAAACGCTTGGGGGCTGATGCTTTTTGACAACACCCTCCAAGGATGAATTAGAATAGGGGGGATGCTCACGATTCATTCTTGGGATACCGGAACTGGGCGTTTTCCCCCCAACCCATGGGGTGTGAAAACTCCCCCGAAAGCACCCCAGCCCAACTCATTGACCCTGCCCTGAAGTCACCCCAAGTGATCGGCAGTCCCATCCACACCGGTGATGCGACAGTCGACGGCGGCAGGCGGCTCCGGGGAGGACGAGCGCTCGTGGTGACAGTCCAGGAGGACGAGCGTGCGCAGCGGACGCGCGAGCGGACGAGCGACACGAAAAGGGGTTGTGTTGACAAGAAGAAACAGAACCAACCCAACCTCCAGGTCATGTGGTGGTGGCTTCACCCTTCCAACCAGCGAGAACCGATGCCCAAATCAAAAACGATGACCGATGGAAGCGGAAGACGAGGCTGAGAGGCTGAGAGGCCGAGCCACTCGTTCTCCAAAAGAGATGAACTTGATGTACCTTGGCCACAAGAGGGAGAAAAAACACAAGGCAGTACGTACCAGGAGCATCCTGTCTGGGTGTGGCTGGACTATGCGAAACAGCAGGACACGTCCAGCAGGACACCCGTCGACAGGATGCTCCGTACGGTACATCCCCTCGTTGGGACACCCGAACACCTTGCCCGCCCGTTGTGCGACACAGACGGGTTTCGTTGGTTCCCAAAGACCGGCTTACTGGGCATCAGCGACGGCGACACGGACACCGGCCTGGTGTTTTCAGGATGGGCACAGAACGGAGATGCGAAAAAATGGCCCAGACTCTGGACCCAGATGTCCAAGAAGGACTTGGACATCTCTAAGTCTAGACTCTAGACTTGTTCATCCTTCACCTAATTCGAGTGTTTGTTGGCTATCTTGTCGCAGTGACCCACGAACCAACCGGAACCGCATCGGAACAGGCGCCAGCGCGGCGGCCAGCGGCTACAGCAGCTCCGCGGTCGGCAGGTGCGTAGGGGGGAACCGGGCCACCCAGACGCGACCCACGCGACCCTGCGTTCAGTAGGGGCCGGACCCGAATCCTCATGGACAGGGGGTCCGGACCTTCTCACCAATCCCTAGGGTTTGGTTCGGGACCAGTCGGGCTGTGTAGGGGTCGCGTCTGAGCCAAGTCATTTCGAGTCCCACCGTTCGGGGTGCCCATGACGCGGTGATGCCCATGAGTCAGAGATTGACGCCCAAAGCGTTGGACCATGTGAATCTCCTTGGGTCAAAGGTGGGGTGGTGGTTGTCGTTAGGTGGATATTCTCATGTCAGAGTCTTGGTGGAAGATGTTACGTGGATGGAATAGTGGATGATACTAATCTGATGTTTGGTCAACCTACCAGGTTACGTGGGACTTGTTGAAATAGAGTCGCACTTATTTTGGATCTTTTTGATCGACTGGTTGACGTTTTTCGCATCAGCATCTTGTCTATTGAAGCACCACCACTTCCTTCATTGTCGCCAGATTCCTGATTCCTGCAGAAGACTTTCGTTGTGACTATGCACAACTCATTTTCTCTCAAGCAACAGCATGTGGTTACTGTCAAAAGATGGACCATAACATGACAATTTCAAACCAAAAACACCTCCTTCATCCTCCAGACAAGACTCTTGCCGGTATTGGCCCGTCCCCTCCGCTCTGCCCGTTGTGGGGACCGGTTTCTCCTAGGCCACCTTCGGAGGATGACCTCTTGGCCACCTTCGGATGACCTCCGATGCAAAGAAAGAGCGACCGGACTGCTTCCACCGGACCGGGGAGTATAGGTCGATCATGAGGTGGGTCAAAGAGATGGTTATAGTCTGCCCGCACTGAAGGTGCTGAGGCGTTGTGTAAGCTTCGAGGCAATCAACAAACCGGCAAGAAACCGGAAGCTGCTAGATAACCAGCTTAAGCGTTAGCTTAGAGGGGGGTCTTTCTTGCTCTAGAATGCTGTGGTTTTGAGGTTATATAATTGAACATTGATAACAATTGATATCGTGTGTATGATTGTGCAAATGGCGTCGGAGGTAAACGTTCGCGATGCTGGCTATGCAGCCGGGGAAAGACTGCATTGTTGACATCGTGACATGGTGGGTGTGTTTCGGTGTGTCCTGCCAGACCGAGACGCACAACTGACAGACCCGAAACGGACAGACTGAGACAGACATACCGAGACAGACAAGCTCCGACAGCACAAGTTGCTGCTTCCCACACCAATTGCCAACCCGTATCCTCGTGGGGTGCTACTGATACATTTACCCATTTAATATGTGTGAATATATTCATGGACTAGCACTTTGTTCAATCATGTCATAACAAGTGTTCTTACGGAACTGCGAAGCTGAACTGTCAACGTGTAAAGGCACTCTGCACTTCACAAATGTTTGTTGATCAGTAGCAAGTTGTAATCAAACAGTGTGGCCTTTCGCTTCGTGGATATTCAAGGCGAAGCAATGTGTTGAAGAAGTAGCAGATGTGATTTGGGTAGTAGGAGCCCGCAGGAACATGTGTTCAAAGGACAAGATTCAGTGAGAGGCTTCCTGCAAAACCCGTTGCTTTGAGAGACATCGGTGGTCTTCCCCATCACTTTGGGCTTGTAGATGCACTCGGCTCGGCGGTCTTTCTTTCGACCCTTGAACCTTTGATCCGTCGGACATGCACTGGCCTCAAGAGGGGGTGCTCTCAGGCAGCGCGCCCAGGCGCGATCTGAACTTGACGATTCCAATGGAGACGAACGAATTCGACTTGGAAATGCGAACACTTTGCATCAATCTTAATTCGCGGACTTAGGCAATGGCTCATGAACACGTCATTTGTCACCCAAAACCAAAGCAGAAATAGCCTTCAGATGCCTTCTTTCTTTCAACCCTTGGCAATGAAGAGAAGATAAGGCAACTCCTCCAAGACCATTGGGAATTCCCACTCCCCCCCCCTCAGCCCTTGCCAACCCACCCACCCAGTCCCCCTGCCCTTGCGGTGGCCTTGCGGTGACACCACCGGACCGGAGTCGCCATGGTGGTCTCACAGCCGGACGTGGAGCTGGAAGCGGCGGAGGTGGAGAATCGCACGGAGGATCAGATCCACGAGAATCACACGGAAGAGGAGCGCCGCCCGGAGCGCCGCCCGTGGATTTGGTTTTTGTTCGCTCGAAGGAGCCGGGGCCGGAGGATCGGATTGGGTGAAATGCGTGGACCGTTCGATTTTTTTTTTGGGTTTTAAGGAGTGCTGTAAAGAGGAAAGGTGGCGAGGTTGGGATGAAGCGATGCTGGGACATCGATGTTGGCTTGCCCAGAAAAAGGAGATCATAAAGCCCTGACTAATAGACTACCCCTAACAAGTGGTGGATCATGGCTACCGGTGGGGTAAAATGAGTCTTTGGAAGTTCTGCCAAAGATCCGGTTGGAAGATTTGAGCGCTTTAGGATGGTCGGACGGACTTGCCTTTGGCCGGACACCGGCGTGCCGGACCGTTTTTGCGTGCATGGAGAAAAGACCGGCGACGCCGGAGGAAGACGGAAGATGTTCAAAGTGATATTCTAATTTTAAAGAAGGTCAAGGATCCTCAGTTCACATCCTCACTTCGTAGGTCCAAACTTGTCTGTAAACAAACAAATGGCTCTCATGGTGGATGTCGTTTTTGGAGGACCCAGACTCGCCGGAGAAAGACTCGCCGGAGAACAGCACGGAGAAGGAGGAGACGTGATACGTGATCAGGAAGAGAGAGAGAGAGAGATCTAGATCCGTCCTGCCGTCCAATCTTGTTTTGAGGTGATTCTTCTAGTACCATACAGAACAAGAAGAATCACCTCAACAAGACTAGAAGAATGCCTTTTGTTTTGTTTTGTATTGTACCGTACAGATCCAAATTCAGCCTTTGTTGCCACAAAGGTCCTAGGGTCATGAGGTGCGGATGTTTTGCGCAGACTGCATTTGAAACGCTGCTCAGGAGACTGACAGAACTACAACCAAGACCACGACCAAAACCATTACCAAGACTACCCAGACCACTGAGACCACTACCACTGCTCATGATGCTTCTGAGAGCACAGCTGACACTACCAGCACCAGCTCTGAGAGCACAGCTAGCACGACCACCAGCACTTCTACAAAGCCACCAGGACGGGCCTTTGTGGAGAAGGGAATAAGCAGGAAAGGATGCGAAATGGGCATGTGGCTTGAAGAGGGGGTCTCTATCCCCGCAACACAAACCGGGCAAAAGGACAACACGAAAGTACACTGAACAAGAAAACTGTGCGAAGACGGCCTCCTTCCCGCTGAACATGGAGAAGTGCTGTTCCTATGGGCGAGTAGGATGCGTCCGCATCCTCAGAAGTGGAAGTGGAAGCTTTTCAGATCAGTGCCATATCGAGGGCTTTCCATGTACCAGCTCTGCCATATTTTTATTTCGACCCCCAAATAAATAGAAAAGCAAAGCCCGTTCAAAACGTATTTATTGGACACCGTTTCTATCTATTCGGGACCACTATACCAGCTCTTCCATGTTCATCCCTGTCGTTCATTTCATCTTGACGTCTCCACGAGGAGACTTGAAGATGCTGGTGATCACCGATCTACATTTTCATCCCAGATACAAAAGGACTTTGGGCCCGAAATGCAGGTGCAGAACAATCAGTCCAGAGTCCAGGCAGGGAGTCCGCCGTTCGCCACATCTGTGGAGAAGACCTACGTGGCCGCTGTGATGAATCGGTTCTTGTTTCGAACAAGTGACGAATCGGGTTTGCTTGCTTCGTGTTGGTGCATCTACTGCCGAATGTGAAAAGGGTGTTCGATCATCATTTTTTTTGGAGAAAGAACACATTGCGAAGACTGGCTAGGACGTGTGACCTGTGCCCGTGCCCATGATCCTCGCTTTTTGGCCGCTGGCTGTGAAAAAACAAAAGGGAACACCAACACCTTCAAACCTGCGAGTGCTGCCGCATAGCTAGAGATACAGGTGCAAAGTACAAGTAAAACCAGGTTGTTTACGGTTGTTTACCATATATGGAGTGTTTTGATATGTCCAACTCCAGTACTGAAAGTATGCTCTTTAACTGAAAGTATATCACCTATCGCCAAGGTCCGTTCCGTCAGGTCGTGCCAAGTGCCAGCGGCACCTTATGGCCAGCATGGATGCAATTCGCCCAAGAGGCGGATCGGACGGGTGATTTGGGCACCCGAACAGGTGGCCAGGGTGGTGCCAGGGTGGCCAGGGTGGCCAAACGCATTCTGCCAAAGGATCTGCCTCGGGCCAACGGGTGGTGTGAACGAAAACACACCAGCAGGAGACGGCCTCCTTTTGGCGGCTTTTGGCGTTGTGGACTACAGCAACGAAAAGTCAGAACCTGTGTCCTGCTGCCATGATGGCGCCAGCCTTGGGCCGAGTATGCTTTGGCCCAAAAAAACCACCCAAACTTGGCAAAGCTGAATGTTTGATACGCCCAAACCGTGTTTTGGCATTTTTTCTTCTCAATGTTTGACTCTTTGTAAGCCATAAACGGCTATATATAGATAATGTTTAGGTCAGTTTCTTCAAGGAAACCCCGGTACTGTATCTTCTCCATGACGCATGTCGCACTGGGCTTTTTCGCCCCTTGCTTTACGATCTCCGAGCGAAGCACAGGTTGATCGACCTATCTTTGGAAGCGGCGAAAGCGCAGGAGAGTGAAGCGGTCGTCTTTTGCATTTGAGATTCCAGTGAAAACCCATCAAGCCGACACCAGCCATCTCAAAAGACCATCTGGTTGTTATCAAAGGGAGTCTCTTGTGAAATCTTGTGTGGTTCATTCTTGACTCCCTTTGATAAGAACCACAAGCCGACACCAGCCATATGTCTCAACCCAAGGTCATTGGGAGAAGCCTACACGGCCAGGGTCTCCTTCTTCCCGGTTCATCTACAACCGATGAATCGCCCTCCTCCCAGTTCGTCTGATGCTCAGCCTGTTGTCCGTGTGTTTTCCCTGTTCCGAACCCAACGCACCGCCCGCGGACAGCGCTGTTTCCGACCGCCGCGGACTGGCGGAGCGAAGGAAGAAGAAAGCCAAGGGTAGAAAAAGGCTGTCTCGGCCGCTTCGGTGCTTTTGGCTGGTACCCCATGTTGGTCAGAAAGTCTTCAGAGACCTTCAGCAATGGCCTGGAAACCTCATTGATGGACGGGACACACACGGCCCCCACGGGCCAGCGGGGTCGTGGGGTGTACCGACAGCCATCGGTACACCCCGCTGTTCGTGCTTCAGAACAGTTAACCTTCAGGAGCCGGAGCTGTGGCTGGTGCTGGGAGATCTGGTGGACCACCATGTGGGCCAAAGCCCTTCGAAGTTTAAGGCTCCGTTGTACAGCAAGGAAAAGGAGAATGAATGGGGTGTCTTGATGGCACAGGGATGGCATGGAGTGGATGGTATGGAGTGGATGGAGTGACGTCATGGAAATCAACAAACATGAGTTCTTCTTGGTGGGTCAACGTGTGCCTGGCTGTCTAGAACATGGCAGTCGGGTCGGGGAGTCGGCCTTGACTTCTGTGGCGGGCTGGTTAAGCATCATCGTGGATAGGTGATCGTTTACGTTTTCTTTAAAGAAGGAATTGTGCAACTTGGTGATGGCACGACCGGCAGGGTTTTCTTTATGAACTACTCCGATCTTGAGGTTGGTTGTCAATAGGGTAGACTCCGAATGATCAGTTGCATCACTGATTCTTTCGAGCATTTGTGGGCAGACTCAGTCCAGTGAAAGGGAGTCAGTGAGTCAGTTGAAGACCACTCCTTTCAAAAGTATTTTGCAAGTGACTCAAACAATCAACCCTATTTCTTTAACAGCTCACGAAGAAGTTACTCAACCCCCTTTTCCCACCGGTGGCCTTCTTTCTTCCAAGAGTTGTGAGATGTTTCATTTGGACTCGACTCTGACCCTCCGGGAACCCTCCGGGAACCCCGGTCTCGCTGTGTCCGAACCCCCCGGAAACCCCCGGTGTCCGCCCGCCCGGCCACCTCCTTCCGCTGTGAGGTCATCGCATCTTCAAGAAGACGCTGCGTCTCGGCGTCGAAGGTCGACGGTCCTGGCGGTCTCGGTCCTCCTCGGTGGGTCGGCTTTGGGCTTGGTGCAGACCTGGCCACGGAGAACGGAGAGAACTGGCACCTCTCCGGGGTGCGGACCGGGTGGACGGCGTGGATTCCTTTCGGGGGGTCGACCCGCAAGCGAAAGCACGATCCCAGGGAACCCGTCCGAATGGACCGGTGGGTTTCGATCCTTTTGTTTTTTTTGGTCCGAATACCAACCCGATGTGATCACTTGGGGTTCCATGTCAAGTTTATACTCTGCAGCAGAGTATGGTGTTCAAGAAATGTCGTCGAAAGAGGCTGAACTAGCCTCATCCTTGAATGTTGCGACACCTTCGTAGTGAGAATGCTACTACCTTCGAGTCGTAATGCCCCTAGTGTGACGTTCGAGAAGTCGTGATGCCCTAACGGCTCCGTTCGAGTCGCTTCTTGGCTCCTGGTTTCCCGGCTCTTCAGCCCGGGGCTTCACCGGCCCGGCCCGGCCGAGGAGCTGGATCTCTGCTGCCAGTGGACGGCGATGTCTGGTGGCCGTAGGGAACAATGTGTCGTGGCGTCGTGGAAGAGGTCGTCCAGGGCGAAACGAAGAGGTCAATACTTGCTGTGTTGATTTTATTGGTTTTGGTATAGGTTCGTTCTTTTTTTTGTCTTGAGACCTTCCGTCATTCAATTCATTCAATTCATTCATTCATTCTTTCTTTCTTTCTTAGATATGGAGTCCAAAGGCAGATATCCACCTGGTGCAATTTCCAGACATGACCCTGTGGTTTCGAGGATTTTACGTCAGAAGCCAGACAGACACACACACACACATACCACGTAGCTGGAGCTGGCTCCCTTCTGCTGGCAAACCTTGACCGGATCAGCAACAGGCACCCTCAATCCAATACCTATGGACCTAAAATGTGGCCCATTACCTGTAACAGTCAGTCGGTAAGTCCGTGAAGGATTATCACTACATACATATTTCTATCAAAAGTCTTTACTAACCATGATCATCCACGGAATGGGAGATACCCAACCAAAACCTACTTTGAAAACGGAGCTGTTCGACCGGTCCCCCCCCAAAGCGCTAAGGACATTTTTCCCGGCTACACCGTGGACTTCGAGCAAGAAGGCTTCTATGAAGCCGTGGCCTGTGCCGCACCATGGAAGTGGGAGGAAATGGGGCCGAGAAATGGCTTCACATTGACCACCTTGAATTCACCAGCGCAGCATACTCAAACAGGTCTGTGCCATTGGCAACTTGGATGTTCCCGGAGGTGTTGCTAGGACTTCCTGTTCTACAGTACCGAACTTGGGTTTTAAGAACATGGTGAAGATGCGATATGCGTTTTGGGTTTGCCAGGAACTCCGACTGGAAGACGCATTCAGTTCCCTTCGATCACCGCCATCAGATGTGTTGAGACAGCATGGGGAAAACATGGCCGTCTCGATCCCGTCTAAGACATATTCAGCTAGATGAGTTGGATTCGGTTCTATCATATTGGATTCGTCCATGTAAGTCCTTAATTGGTGTATCCCCTTGAAATTGCACAGTTTTCAGGCGCTCCAACTTCTTTTTTCAACAATGCCTGCAATTTGCCGTTTGCTATTTCCTCTATATATATACACTTCTTTTATTAATCCACTGCATTGTATCTTATATATATATATTGTGGTTTATACCATTGGTACTGTATCGCATTTGATTGAATTGGATCCTATTCTATGAGATTGTACCGCGTTGTATGTATTTTTCTATGTCTTACATTCCTCCATTCAACCCGCTGAAAAATGTACACTTTGAAGAGAGTCCAAACCAAGCACCATCCATGTCGATCTCTTACATTGATCGTACACTCTCCCACCCAATTTCCTACCATTTCCTTCTCTTACTCATCATCACCCCACGATGCGCTATCGATGAAAAGGCAAAGGGCTCGGCTCCTTTCAAAGGTTTTGGGTTTCTTTTTCGTGCTTTTGCGTACCACTTCATACCCGAGACCCTTTTTTTCCCTCCCAGACTTGGCAAAACACATCCAAGTAGGACGAGATGGCATGTGTTTTGGATCTTTTCTTCCACCTTTTTGGATCTCTCACCTCGCCAGTCATGCAATTCTGTTCCCAACCCCTTCCCCATAGCTAAAGCTAGCGATGCACGCAATTCCACACAATACCGAAGGCTAAGGCCATAAAGGCAAGACTCCGTCGGTAACTGTTGAACGTTGATATGTTTCTTTGGCAACGCGTGTATTATGTGTACTTGAACAGTGTACATCATACTTTAAATCAACAAAGCGGAAAAACTAAGCCGAGAAACTATGACTCTCCGAAGAAACTTGACTTGGAGCCAAAAGCGGACATGTTCCCACTGCTCATGAAAGGGGTTGCGTTCTTCCTTGGCTGGTTGGTCATGAAGCTATACTCCAGAAAGAGAAATGAATGATCTTGGCTTTGGCCGTTAGCTTTTCCCTTGTTCCTCTCACATCATTTAGGAAAAACGGGCAAACATTTGGCGTTCCAAAACACACATGTTGTTGAACACACGCTCCAGACGTGGAAAACAGGTCTCTGTGGCCCGCTCCGGACGTCCGGCTCTCCGCTCGGGTCCCTCGGGTCGGCTCTGACACCGAGGTGGCCCAGGAGGTCCGGAGGCGGATCCGGTGGATGTTGGGGATTCGAGGATGCGCATGATCGAAACATGACAGCACACGAAAAAGGCGTTGGAAGAAGGTTTTTTCTACAAAGACACAGGGAAGGGACAAGACCTTTTTTGACCTACCTTAAAGGACAATGCCAATAATAAAAACAACACCATGTCTTGATGTGCCAATGCAATTCTTTGGCATGAGGAACCACTCCGCACAAGCAGCTCGTTCAGTGTTCATGACAGCTGTATGGTGTTCCTTCCGCAAGTCATGCGGATTTTCATGATTTCGACCGGTCCTTCGCAGCTGTGTCATTGCCAAAACCACCCTGGACACGGTCCGGTGCAGGGACCGAAGACCTGCCCCACCGTGACCAGAGCGGGGGCCCCAGGAGGGGGCCCCAGGACGGGGCCGCGAGCTCCGCTCCGCTCCGCAGGAGTTGCGACCTTTCAGAGAATGCCTTCAGTACTCTGAGGAGGCGACTTTGAGATGCAGGAAGGTTTTTGTGCTGTTGAGGCGTTTTTTGGTGCATGGTCGAAGGAAGAGGAACTGCATGGAGAAAACAGCAGATCGCATGTAAGTGTCCATGTAAAGGTCTATGTTTATCACCAAAGTATGTGTTTGTTGAAACCTAGCGGGCCTATCAAGTGTTTGTATTCTATGATTTTCCCTTTGTTGTGCACCATGTTCCTTGGACCGCTGCAGGTTTGGCTTTTACTGGGAGGAGATTGGAGAGAAGATGGTGCTGCTGGTGCTGAACACCGTGTGGCTTGGTGTGAAGAAAGGGTCTTCAAAAGTATGTGTTTATCCCAGTGATTCTAGCCCCCCCGGATTGAGCTACTTTTGATATAGAAGAATTCATGTTGAAGGACAGAAGCTGCCACCTAGGATTTCGCAAGAAAAATTGCCCTCACAGGTGGGGGGCCTGGGGCCAGTGGGCTCTGCAGAAGGTGCGTCCTTGTTACGAACGTAGCGATGCCCTTTGTTACTAGTAGCGTTCTTGTTCCTAGTAGTAAGGCCTGGAGCTACTAAGAGCGTCCTTGTTACTAGTAGTAAGGCCAGGAGCTGCTACTAGCGTCCTTGTTACTAGTAGCAAAAATCCGGGTGATTTCTTTGGAAGGGTCTGCGCGCAAGCTGACCAAGGATCTATGCGACCAAGCTGGCCAACAGGCACAACAGCACCGTGCCTGGGCCAACGGAACAGGGTACGACGAATGGGTTTGAAGATGTTTGAAGCGAGATGGAACAAGCAGCGCAATCCATGAACCTCCCAATGCTCACAACTACGGATTCACTGAACATCCCCTGCAAGGAAAAACCGCATGTTTGCAGTATTGGCCTGGAAAAAGGCATTTAAGGCAGGGCAACATCCCTTGACCCTTGCGATTTGGTGGAGCAGGTGATGCTGTGATTAGAAAAGAGTAACAGTACTGTAAACCGTTGACAATCCCTCAATGATTACAGTAACTCGTGGGTTGCCTTTCACACGCATCCCGAACCCAGGTTGTTCAAGTTGTTTGCAGGTGTTGATGCATCCAGGATTGATTAGATCTGGCCCCGACATGACATGGGGGCCTATGGCATGTACATGTACATATTGGTTGTGTCCCAGTACCTGTTACACTGTAGAGCCGTCGGTCAAGCGGTCTTATCACTCATCATCACTCACTGGAAATTGACCCGTCCACCCAGCCAGGGCCGCGAAAGCGGGGTCTCCTATAAAAATATACAACACCCATAATGTGTCTTCTTTTAAAACATATGATGGGTGTTTAAAATATACAACAGCAGTGGGGTCTCCTTTAAAATGGTTCTTTTTTAAACAAACATTCTTCTCCAGGAGTCACAAAGGGGTGGTGTTTAGTCCCCAAGTGAGTGGATAATGGGCACCCCGAACCTCCATTAAGCACCCCTTTGTGACTGCTGGCTTTTTTTGAAGCAGCCAAGAACATCACGGGGTCGAACACGCGCTTCTTCAGATTGTCTGAGCTCGGACCTTGGTCGAAGCGCTGCCAAAAGCGACCATCGCTGAGGCACAGGACCCCTTTGGGCAACTGGCTTGGCTGAAGCGGCGATTGCAAGCGGCCCAAGTCCAGGGCTACAAGGTGACCGTGAGAGTTTTGACGGTGTCATCGAGACAGGGGGATTTTGGTTTTCTATGGCCAGGAGCTACTAATAGCGTCCTTGTTACTAGTAGCGATGCCCTTTGTTCCTAGTAGCTTCTTGCTCCCAGTAGTAGGGCCAGCAGCCCCTAGTAGTGTCCTTGTTACTAGTAGTAAGGCCAGGAGCTACTACTAGCGTCCTTGCTCCTAGTCTAACATATCTCAGGCTTCATCTTTTTGGCACGTGGATGGTGAACAAATTGGACGGACTTTGAACAGGATATCCTCACCTAAAGTTGTTGTTGTTGTTGCCGCTGTATGTGTTTGGTCCGTTTGCTAAGCGCCATGTGTGTGTGTAACTCTTGGAATCAAAGGGAACCTTTAGGTTTGGAACAGGGGGGCGTGACGGTCGATTTCCTAGTCACGCCAATGAAGCTATGGAAATCGACTGGATGGAAGTTTGGATGCAAACTTCCGTACCTGTTCCGCTATTTAGGAAAACAGGAGGAAATGGTACTCGACACACTTGTGTGTCGGTGCCTTTCCTTCTGTTTTCCTCTAGGCTACTCTACAGGTTTGTAGGTAGGCCTCTAAACTTTGTAAGGGGTTCTTTAACCTGAACTTTGGCCTCCATCCACTAGATTGGCCCCCAACTTGCTGTCTTGTGCTTCTTGTGCTTTTGTGCTTCTTGTAACCTTGTAGCACTGGCCTCCAACTTGGTACCCTGGCCTCCACCCACTAGCAAGGACCTCCAACTTTGACTGTCTTGTGTTTTTTCTTGTGCTTTTGTAACCTGGTAGCGCTGGCCTCCAACTTGGTACCCTGGCCTCCAACCTACTAGCGATGACCTCCAACTTTGCTTTTGCTGTCACTTTGTGTCTATGGTCCACCGCCTACTAGCGATGGCCTCCAACCTTAGGTCTTGGCCCCCAACAGCCTTGCGTTGACCTCCAACCCAAAACCGATGGCCTTTAACCTACTATTTCCTGACACCTCAGGCCTTTTGCACCGCTGTCAAGTCAGTATATCCATAAGTGTGTTCAAAACAAAAGGAAATTAGCTCCCTCCTGCGAAAACGATTGTGATTTCTACCACATTGATGTTTTCCTGTATCCAACATGTTGAAAGGCCCAGATCTTGCCGAAATCTCGAGTTGGTTCATTTGGGGTTCCCAGTTTCTTGAAAGGTTTACATTGCCGGGCACATCCCGCCGGTGGCGTCCTCCTTTCAGCCTTATGACTTGCACCTTGTCAGATGTGTCGATCTCGGCTCACTGTGAATCTTTGCTGAAGAAGAAGCATCAACACTGCGAGTGATCAGCTAGCGGCTAGCGGCTAGATGGTGTTTTTTGGGCGAAAGCGACCACATGGTGGACGAAAACGGAACTTCAATATACAGAATGAATTTAAACAAACTTGGTGGAAAGTCGAACCTGAAGGACAAGGTCATTGGGTAGTGAGTTAAACATGATGCAAATGTGTCATCAAACATGTTTGGTTTAGCAATTGACTTGGCATATTCACGAAAGCTAGCCTTAGCTAGCTGGAGTTGCTCTTGCTTTAGCAAGTTAAGTGACGGGGTGGACGCACCTCAGAAACTTCAAATAATTGATTAAATCAATCTTATGGACCCCCCCCCCCGCGGGTTCGACTCCCCCCGTGCGCGCGGTGAGCGGGACCACCAAGCAGCTGCAGCACACCAAGCATCTGCAGTCTACCACCAAGCAGCTGCAGCAAACCACAAAGGAGCAGCAGCAGCAGAAGCAGCAGACCCAGAGCAGCAGCAGCAGCAGCAGCAGACCACCCAGCGCCAGCAGCAGCAGCAGCAGCAGACGACCCGGCGCCAGCAGAGCACCCA